CACAGTATCGTCAACAATTAGAAGAAATGCTGTAAGTACAGTTTCTTTATTCTTGTTTTTCTTCTTTAAAAAGTAATTATTTAATTCTGTTCGTAGGCTTCTTATATATCATCTTAGTTTGAGAGCCATCTTTGCTGTTGCTTTCTTTACTTTTGTGTGCTTGCCAACTTCTGAAACCATACCTGAGTCTTGTATTTGACTTTATTGACATATGCAATTGCAGAACATGCTTGGTGATATTGGACTCTAATGTTTTTCCTATTCAGCATGATCTGTAATTTAAATGCATAATGCAATTTATCCTGTGTTCCATATTATTTTAAGCTAATATTATATCTAAAGTTCATTTTTTATGCCTCGTACATCATTTCATAATTTTCAATGGAAGCTAGTTTCTTATTAAAAGAAATTATATCTAAGGTTCGTGCAAAGGGTCACTTTTATCTGGTTTCTATAGATCCTTTCATAGTCTATGTATAGCTTATTTTCTTCAGGCGGCCTTCCTATGCTCTCCATTTCTCAATTCCAAGCAAGTTTTCGAACCAAACATTTGCCATTCAATCAGTTAAAGAACTCCGATTTAATCGAGAAGTAGGAAGGGGATTTGAACTTAAAGTATGTTTGAGTTAGCTTTTAATACTTCTGTCATAACATTGACTTGTGGGTTGCTACTAAAAATAAGATTTTCTAAACTTTCGCCCTTTCTTTTGAGCTTTTGTGAACTTGATGTTGATACTTCGTGGAGATAGTATTGTTGCCTCATGGTAAGTGGTTTTTGGAGTGGCCTGGTTGGAGCCATAGAGGATTATAGGAAAGGTCTTAATAGATAGATTGAAAATGGTCTTTAGCCATACCATAACCCATAACTCAACTCTTAAGCCTTAAGTAGGTTGTCTGAGTTATTTATTTAACAAAAAAAAACCATGGTGGCATGTTGGTAACAAAAGGAGGAAGGTAGATAGGGCATTGATGTTTTGGGTTTCAATTACTCAAAAGGGCTTGTTAATTAGTCTTGCCTCTCAATCTTCCGATAGATTGAAAGAAAAATGTAGAAAGTCCATTTGTTGCCGCCATTGTAAACCTAACACACACCTCGCCATTGTGAATGACGAACCTTGGGAAGTATATAACACACACCTTGCCATTGTGTGACACATGGAAAAGATTTAAACCACATCCTTCCGGAAAACTTTTTGTGAACGTTTCTACCGACTTCTGAGTGTGTCTATCCTCTAGTTTGGATCGTTGGAAGAGGTTCTTCTAAATTCTCCTGATAGGGGAAGACTCCTTTGTGAGACAAGTTTTATTTTCCCACTTTCTTTTAATAATATTTTGTTTGTTTTGGGTTGTTTAAAAAATATTTGGTTTATTTGGTAGTAGAAGAACAATATGATTTTTGGTGATATAAAGGGATCTTAACGAGGTTCAAAGTTTGGATCACTTAAATCATGGGTTGACCTAGTATGGTGGTCACCTGCTTGTAATGTTAAAGTCCTATAGAGTTTTTCAACATTTGAATATTGTAAGAGCAAGTGACCTTAGTTACTCACAGTCATTGAGAAGATATAAAAAAGTTATTTTTTATAATTTATAGAGTTGAATGATCTTTATTTGCGGAGTACTTAATATAGAATTTTATTTTCATTTCATGCATGCCATACATGCTAAATTGTAATCGCACTACTTCTAGTTCTAGTCTCAATGCCTTCTCATTTTTATTTTTTTATCATATTTTCTTTTAGACTCCTTGGTGTGAGAGGAATGGGAAGATTTTTAATGATCGACACTCCTCCTTTGGTAGTTTTATAGATTTGCTCCTTTTTAATGCTCTCTATTCGTGTAAATGTGTAGTCCTTTTAGATTTTCAGTATTTCTTTCTCCATTACGGATTGGCCAGATTTCTTGTAGAGTTGCTAATATGTTTGAAGTATATGCTATAACACCATCTTCTAACGTGATGTTTTTTCTGCTTTAATTATTAATCTCAGTAACAATATGAGTGGAAGCCCTCAATTGGACGACAGCCTCATGGATTCCTTGAAAAACTTCGATCTAAACAGCCCTGAAGTTAAGCAGCAATTTGGTCAGTCAAATCGTTCTTTTTTGCTTTTGTACATTCTGCTTGATTACTATTCTCTGGTCGGCATTTACTATGGCATCATATGTTTCATATATAGATGAAATGCAGATGATGTATATGATTTTCTGTGACTGATGCAACCATATAATGCCAGTCTTAAAAATATGGACCGACATTTTGTTGTTTTGTTGTCAAAATAATTGATAAGCTCAGAAGTCTGTCAACTTTGCTTCGGTTTTGGTTTTCTGATGCTAATGTTTGTTTCTCTTCTTACAGCAATGCTGAAATTGATTTAAATATATTCTTTCAAATGAATTGCAAGATTACGGTTCATGTATACTCATAATTAATAGTTTCATTCATTATATCTATTATATGTTTCTGTGAGTTCATTGGTGTCTGGTTGGAAATGAAAATTAGAACGGTTTTGTTTTTAAGAATAAAAAACAGTTTTTTTCCACATATAAAAGACCGCAAAAACAAAATCTTATTGTTTTCACATGTTTTTCAATTAATTATTCATTTATAAATATTACAATAATTGAGCCTACTCTTTCTTTTTGCAACTATGACAGATCAAATTGGGCTTACACCTGACCAAGTTATTTCAAAGATTATGGCCAATCCAGAAATCGCTATGGCATTTCAAAATCCAAGAGTTCAGGCAGCCATCATGGAAGTATGTTTTACTTAAGGGTAATACATTTTTGGTTCAAATCTAACATTTTGATTTTACTTTTTGCAGTGTTCACAAAATCCACTGAGTATAACAAAGTATCAAAATGACAAAGAGGTACATTAAATTGATACTGTTCTTGTACTTTCATCTTTCATGTGGTTTATATAGAACTCGAACGAAGTAGAGTTATGCCGACTACATGTTGACATAAACTCAGAATTGCATTTTACTGATTCTGGTGGTGGGAGGGTTCTTTTTGTAGATTGTTAATATATATTCTATATCATTAACTTGCTCATTCTCAGCTGCACTTTGCACCTTTCTAGTTTCATTCAGTTAACGAAATAAAAAACATAATCACTCTACATTCTGTTGTTTCACATGTGCAGTAAATTGTTTCAATTTGTCTTTGTTGAATACCCCTCATTTAATATTCTGGGCTTATTTTTCTTATCCTTTTGGCAGATCGCATTGATCTCCATTACTTCATTTCTTTAAATATGTATCAATATGATTCACTCTAAACAAATTCTAATGTTATACCTTTTCTGTTTTGGTGCACTTGTAGGTCATGGACGTTTTCAATAAAATATCAGAACTATTCCCTGGAGTTTCTGGGTCACCATGATAATTGTAACTATTTTGGTTGCTAAAGAGTACATGACAAGATAAGAATCAAATATGGAAGATTGAGCATGCTTCCTTCCCGTCCATTGTGAAATAAGTTGGAGAAGATAGTCATCTCTGCCTTTTTCGTAATGAAGTTAGCTGAGTCGGTCTCGCCTGCTTCGATTACACGAGTTATATTGGATTTTTCGGGTGAGCTAATTCTTTTTTCCCTTTCAAAACCAAGTTTCTTTTTCCGAGTAGTACCATCTGGAGGTCATGTATTTATTAGTGGCTTTGCATTTAATCAACACATCATAGGAACCTCTTCTTTATATAGTGGTTAGATTGATTGTAAGAGACTTTTAAGCTCATTGATATATCAAGGTAGTCAATGTAGTTTATAAGTAATTTTGGCATATTCTTATTTCCCTTTCAATTGAATGACTTTATTGGAAGTATTGCTGAGTAAAAATATCACCACCCTTTATTAGGAAATTAGAAGTGAGATATATGTTTGATTTTCCATTTTCATTATATTATAATTCTGCATCCATATATTCTTCCTGATTGATGATGGATCATCAGCCGTCAGGTTGCAGCTCTTTAATTGATCAGGGAATAAGTTTTTATCAGTCGGGACTTGTCTCGAACGGGGAAGCTTTCCGTTTAGATGGGGAATGGGGGACGAAATGGGGATAAATGGGGTCCTGTGACGGGATTATATTCTCCACCCCACCCAGTTCTCCACTCTTGCTTAATATAAATAAATATATATATATATATATATATATATATATATATATTATGTATTTGACTTTTGGCTATGGGCTATATTGGCTTGGTTGAGACTTATGAGATTTATGTTGTAATATTAAAATTTTAATTTTAAAAAATTAGGATAGTAGTTTATGAATATATTAATTTATTATGATAAATAATATATTGAAAAATAAAAATTTTAAAATAATTATTATTTTTAAATGGAAAAAAGAAAATAATTCTCTCGAGAAATCTTCACTATAAAGAATGAAATAAGTGGTGGGGATGAGAGATTCTCTCGTCCCTCCCTGCATCTCTAGTCTTTAGCCTTGAGGGGGCTTAGGAGAGAGTGAACTCATTCTTATATAGTAAACTCATCTGTTAGCATGTGAGGGTGTATGAGAAGTCTATAATCTTAGAGTTTTTATTTCAATGTTCAGTTATTTGAATCAAAGTTTAGTCAAAAATATTGTAGAGATGAAAAGCTGTTTCAATAGATTCATCCATTTTTTTATTCATATATCTTACTAACAAAAAAACTTTATGTGAACGCTATAAAGTTTTTGTTTGGTACTAAATTGTGACATCCATCTTATGATAACATGAGATTTGAACTTCATTACTAAATTGTATGCAATGTGTCACAATCTGTAATACGATTGTGCCCCGAGTAAGTCATCGAGCACGATGACTAAGTTAAGTGAGGGAAAATGTCACAACCATACTATAAAGAGAGTAGGTTGTGACCTTCACGTCGCAACAATAGAAGCGATGACCCTCAAGTGGCGCCCATCCGACCACGCGAGGGCCTAGACGAGTGCCATGATGTGATCGAAGAGAACGATGCATCATCCAACACACCACCACGCAAAGTAGGCACTGAAGACAAGTTTAGACATAAGCAAGACTGAGACATCAGAATAGACATGAAGGGCAAAGATAGGCTTGTTGAAGGGCCAGGTAGAGCCCCAAGCCTTAACCTCAAAAGTCGGGGTTCCAGAAAGAATTTGAGCATGCGGTTTGGGAGTTAAGTCCATCCATATGAAATAGGAATGCTCGCCAAGTTTGATATCAATCGGACACCGGACGGACAATGCACGAACACCGTATGACCGTTCACCAAAATCATGTCTAGGCCTGGAAAATTGAAAATGGCTCAAAATGTACCATAGGAGTACCATGGTGTTAGCTCTCCACCACCCCTGACGAGTGTCTCGGGCGACTTCCTTTGAAATGAATTTTTGAAGAACAGTACCGGACGGCACGGGTGTGTCGGTATTGCGTCCTAATCCCCGTGTTGGAGGTTGCTACATACACTCATTATCCGGTACGGTATCCGTAAACAACTCGGCATGGGCACGAGAGGGCCAATGCCTCGATAGAACTCGGATGGATGGATGTACGGGAAGTCCCGATGGGATGAAAGACACGCGGGCCCATTCTCGATGGCATAACCGAGCGAGTTATGATGGCCAACGACATCCCGAGACTCGGGATGGAGTCAAGACATATGGACCCTGTCGATGGAGATCGAGATGACAAGATGAGAGGCAACGTTGCATTGAGAGACCTTGTCCCGAGTAGAGGCAAGGTCGAGCCGAATGATTTGGCCTAGCGTAGAGGCAAGTTGGATGTCTCACAGACGATTGAACATGCACGCGCAAACGGCGTGTGTAGTCGAACAAGCTTGTATTTTGCACAAACGATGTTCGATTGACGAAAACAAACCTCGCGTAAAGTACGACGAAGCCACAAAGCCGAGTTAAAAATATATATGGGGCTTAATTCCCTTAAGGCTAGTCGTGAGCGTGTCAAAATCACGACAACACAGTAAAAAACCGTAGGACCGTGGCACAATGCATGTTCATCATTGTATTCTACATGTTATTTCCAATATTTTGTGTTTATATGCCAAGTTATAAGATCGAAAAACAAAAGAATGGAAAGAGTATTACGATCATTGGCTGGAGAATCGAGAACTTTCGTTTATCTTTCTAAATTCTGGATAAAATGTCAGAAATGGCCATCACAATGTTATCGTAGCACTGCCAAACTCGTTCCGCATCTTTATCTCTCGCTGCATAATCCATCTGCAAATCGTCAAAATTGAAGAACAGAAGAGTTGAATTGAAGAAGATCATCAAGGCATTGTCAAGCTTCAAACGATCAAATCAAACTTACTCGAGTAACATTGTTGAAGAGAAGAGAATAGAGTTTCCTGAGAGGAGGTCGCTCAGCAGGCGGTTTATATTCAATTATAGTGTACAGATCCTGTTTGAGCAGCGGCGAACTGCTTCTCAACTGCTTCTGCGCTTCCTTCCAAGACTCCGATTCAATTAAACCTCTCACCTGCAAAACCGCTTCCGCATGGCCTCTGATTCCGCTCTCCGCCTCCTCGAAGCTCTGCTCCGGCGCTATCAATTTCAGATCCAAAGCATTCGTTATTTTCACAGGCGTCGAGGCTACAGACGACGACGCCATTAAAGCCATGAATCCCAGCCCTAATCTTCTGCTTATGCTTCTGCAATTGCTACAACGCTTGGCTGTGATGCTGAACAATTGAAAGGAGATTATAGGAGGAGAAGAAGAGAAATGGATACGATTACTGAGGTTTGAGACTGAGATTGGGCTTAATTCCGCCATTGAAGTACAGAGAGAGGCTTCCTCCTGATCTCTGTATATTTATGGAAATGAGAAGCTCGGAATATGCCACGTCAGCAAGAGAGAATTTGGTCAGATTTATTTATTTATTTATTTATTTAAAATCTTGTGTAATTATTAATATGTTACGGTAAAAATAAATAGCTTAATTTCAAATTGTGAAATTATCATAAATCAAGTGACCTTTTCGTATGGGCTTTCCTTGTAGATAGATTGCAATCGATCGACCAATTTGATCATATCTAAACCGCGTGGGTAAAGCTTCAAGCTTCTAATCATTCTTTTATACAATTTTGAAGAACACAATTTTCAAGACCAACCATGTTTGTTTGGTTGTTTCTCCTTCTTGTCAGCAGTGAATACCAGGAGGCTTCTAGAGAATACAAACCCTAGCACAACAAGTACTCCTTTCTATGTTTCCATGTCCCTTCTGTGTGACGATTGGAGTCCCATCATATGCACAAGCAACTATAGTGATGACGACTGGAGTCCCATCATATGCACAAGCAACTATAGTGATGACGACTGGAATCCCATCATATGCACAAGCAACTGTAGTGATGAGCAAACCTTGAGCGAAGGAAGCAAGAAAAAGGCCCCCTAAACCGCTTTCGTTAAAAGGAAAAAGATTACATTTGGCTCATTAGGGATATCATGCCACTTTGGTAAGTGAATAATCCTAATGGTAGAAAAAACTCCCTCCCATTTGATAACCTATGAAGAAAAGAACACCAGAAGTGAGACAATAAATCAGATTCGAGACAACATAAACTAAAGGAACAAATGGAGCAAGATGATCATAATGAACAGCTCGAGTCGTTCCAGTGTAACATTTCTTATCTAAGTAAACGACGTGCATGTATTTTAACCAGTCTTTGAAAATGATAGTTGTTTGAGAGTATTTATAAGCAAAGGAATTATGAATACAAAGAGTTTACACACACTGATCTAATTTGAAGGCATTCATTCAACTGCATATCTAGTTTGATTCCAAGTTCCAAAGTAAACGTCTTCCAAAAGCTCGTACAGTTTCCCCTAATAGCTTAGTATTCCAACGAACCAACAGACGGTAGCCCCGAAACATTTTCGGCTTCATTGCCACCACTGGTTAGTCGCTGACCATCGATAGGGTTGAAGGACTCGATTACCTGTTCCCTTAGTTCCTGAACGTCTTGAGGAGAAAGTATCTTGATATACCAAACATTATTGACAAATGCCCTGCAACATATAAGAACAGTACATGCAGAATTAGCAGACAGGAATTTAGGACAGGAAACGAAATTCTTCGTCTCAGAAGTCGATACCAGTTGAGAAAACCATGTGCAGTTCGGTTACTGTTATAGAGAAGTTTTGAAGAAATTTAGGACACGAAACGACGAGCTTTCTCTTTTCAGTATTAAACCAAAACAATTTGGAACGATGGTACCATTTTCATTGTAAGCACAAGTCTATAAAGGGGATGCATGGAAGTGAATATATACGGTTGAGCTCAGGTTATTTAAATGGAAAGGCATCCAAGTACTTACTCCCAAGGGTCGTCTCCAAGGAGAAGTGCATCGTTCTCCCTGTCGACAAATACAAGCTGCCAGCCTGATCTACAAGGGTCTTCCAACTGTCCCTCTATGCCAAACATCTGAGCCAGCTCCTCTCGCAGCTCCTGATAGCTACTGAACCGGGAGATGTCTAGCGAACGCCCAACAGACCCAGTTTTGTAAACCTGCAAGAAAAGGAGTTATAAGCCAGCACACAACTAAGATAACAGAATTCACCACGTGTATTTGCCCGGTTCAAACCTTCACAAATGTCTGAGTTGGATTCGACGGATCAACTTGCCCCGAGCTGTGCAACAACTCGGAAGAGCCTTGAACACAATTGTACAAAGAATTCTGAAATCCAGAATCTCCCAGTGGCATTGAGGTTGAATCAGGAGCAATTGATGGAGAAGCATAAGTGGGCACATTAGAGGGAAGCAGAAGCCCAGATGAATCAATATTAACACCAAAAAGTGTAGGACTTGGAGAATCTGAATTACAATTTCCCAGCTCCAAAATCGAGTCTCTACCAGAAAATGGAAAGGACATCGAGTTTGGGTGAGCATCGACCGGTGAATGAGCATTCTTAGAAACAGGAGATTGTTGAGGTAACTGCTCGGTTAAGATCGATTGCCCACTTCTATAAATATTGGAAAGATTTCCAGTCCCTTCAGCACATGATGAAGCAATTATGTTTCTTCTAGAGGAAATGGATTCTGGGTAATTTGAATTCGAATCCATAAGGTTTGATCTGGGAAACGTGGGCGATGGCACATTTGAATGCCCGCCCTGATGAAATTGATTGCTTTGAACCTGAACGGTATCGTGATACGTATGCTGTTGCTGGTTTGGCAGATCCTCGGGTTGATTTTGTAGCGTTTGCTGAAGAATGTGTTGGGGTAGGTTTTCGGACATAACTTGGCTTGGTGCTTGCAGGATGTTCTGAGGCATAGATTGTTGAACCAATTGCTGTTGTTGCAGCTGCAACAGAGAATTATGGAGGCCTGCCTGTTGAGCGTATTGGAACGGCTGTTGAAGATGCATTATTTGCTGTCTCAGCATATCGACACCTCCAAGGTTCGGCATTCCTGCAGCCAACATGGCTTGATACTGTTGGTTATGATCATTTCCAAACATGGAAGAATCAAGTCTCTGCTGCAACCAGGGCAGTGAACCCGCAGATTGCAAATTCAGCAAGTGTAGAGCTTGTTCCCCGACTCCTCCCCGTAGCCACATTAAGCCATTCGATGCATCATCTCTGTTATCTGTAAGGAAATAGACCATTAAAAAACGTGGTTATGAACCATGGGCACATTTGTGAAAAATTTTAAGCGCCGTGACCCGTGAGCATAAGCAATCCCTGGTAAATGACAAAACAGGGTGCCGAAATTTCCTACAAGCCATAAAAAAATGGAATGATAGAAGATACACAGAAGAGCACGAGGAATGCATTAACAAAATATCGATATGCTGATATGGAAGAAATAATCCATCAAAAACAAGAATCCAATAACAAAATAGAGAATATGCTGGTACTTATAAGTTATATTTCATTGGAAAAGAAAATCCAAAAACAAAATAGAGATACGTGGATACAAAATTTTGAAATCTGGAACTAGAAAGAAGCACAGGTAATAACATCAATGTGAGATCCCACGTCGGTTGGAGAGGAGAACAAAACATTTTTTTATAAGGGTGTGGAAACCTTTCCCTAGCAAGCACGTTTTAAAAACTGTAAGGGAATTCCGAAAGAGAAAGCCCAAAGAGAACAATATCTACTAGAGGTAGGCTTAGACTGTTACAGATGGTATCAGAGCCAGACATTGAATGAAGGGTGTGGAAACCTCGCCTTAGCAGACGCATTTTAAAAACCTTAAGAGAAATCCCAAAGAGGACAATATCTGCTAGCAATAAACTTGGGCTATTACAGATGGTATCGAAGTCTCACACCGGGCAATATGCCAGCGAGGAGGCTGAGCCCCAAAGAGGGGGGGACACGAGGCGGTGTGATAGCAAGGCACTAGGCCCCAAAGGGGATGGATTGGGGGGTCCCACATTGATTGAAGAAGGGAATTTGTGCCAGCGAGGACACTGGGCCTCGAAGGGGGGTGGATTGTGAGATCCCACATTCGTTGGAGAGGGGACAAATCATTATTTACAAAGGTGTGGAAACTTCTACCTAGCAGACGCGTTTTAAAAACCTTAAGGGAAGTCTGAAAGGGAAAACCCAAAGAGGACAATATCTGCTGATGGTGGGCTTGAGTTGTTTCAAATGGTATTAGAGCCAGACACCGGATAGTGTGCTAACGAGAACGTTGAACCCCAAAAGAGGATGAATTGTGAGATTCCACATCGGTTGGGGAGGGAAACGAGCAAGGTTGATATATCTCATGTTAGCTATGTACTGTGTATTGCAGGAAACAGAGGAGGGGAAAGAACACCAGTTGACTGGGACACAAGACTCAAAATTGCTCTTACAGCAGCAAAGGGCATTGCTCATATTCATACAATGGGTGGTCCAAAGTTCACTCATGGAAACATCAAGGCCTCAAATATTCTCCTAAACCAAGATCTCAATGCTTCTGTCTCTGACTTTGGCCTTACCCCTCTTATGAATGTCCCAACTTCTCGAACTGCAGGTTATCGTGCACCCGAGGTGATCGAAGCTCGTAAACANGGGGGGAGGGTGAGACTATGAGATCCCACATCAATTGGGGAGGAGAACGAAGCATTCTTTATGAAGGTGTGGAAACCTCCCCCTAGAAGATGCACTTTTTAAAAACCTTGAAGGGAAGCCCGAAAGAGAAAAGCCCAAAGAGGAAAATATCTGCTAGTAGTAGGCTTGGGCTCGGGAATTTTTTAAAAAGCTGCCAGCAAACGTAATCCAAAATGAACGTGCGATCCCAATCATGTTAACTCCCCTTCTTTATCCTCACACTTCTGCACAGACTCCAACTAGTAATCCAAAATCAATTCATTTGATACCTAAAGTAAATATTTTTATCCACTTAAATTTTCCATCTCAAGAATATGCATTACAAAGCATCAAAGACTTCAGAAAATAGTTCACACACCTAATTCAGAGCGCAGAAATGAGTTAAGTAAATACAAAACGAATACCATGAACAGACGAGACTCCAGGATGCCATGGACGTTTCAATCGAAGCGGAAAAAGGGAAGGATACATCGGAAATGTAGTTAAAGGCTCAATTTCCCACAACGATACCCTTGGCTGCCTCTCCCCAGCTGTTGACTCATCCCACCCGACCTGCAAAAGGACATAGTAACACAAATAAAGGCCAATGGTCAAGGTACTGAAAGGAACAAATTCTCTCCATTGCTATTTAATGTTATGGTTTACGGAATAACAAATTGATAATTCACAAAACCTTCACAGTAGAAAAGCTGACACTGAACTGCTGAAGTTTTAGAACAAAATCATTTGAGCACCCTAAACGACAAATGTCAAACCGACAATCTT